TTCATCATCCAGTGAGGCTTTCTCTTCTGGACTTCCTTTTTGGCACCAAGTTCTGTGTTCTACTTGGTGTTCAAAAATCACCTTCTGCCTTCCTTTACTGAACTGTGTGGCAGTAGAGCAGAAACAAATGGAAACAGGCAACTGCAGGCTTGGCTAATGCATGAGGGCACAGCTGCTTTGCAAGAGGGTTGCACATGTGAGAGAGTACTGTGGCTCAGAATAAATTAACACTAAAGGGTCACACTCTGGCCAATACCAACTCTAAACAGGGAATTTAATGCAAGGCAGAATCATGAAGCTCCTGTACCCCTTTCCCTCCTGTCCCACTCTGTCCTCCACATTTTACTCTTAATCTTCTCCTCAACACAAACACAAAACATGAGTTTTTGTTAGTGCTTTCATATGGATCCAGCGAAATAGCGAAGAAAGCTTCAAGTTTTGAATTAGCATTCTTCAGCACTACAGCACAGCAGGGACTTTACCTACAAGCTTCCCCCAAAAAAGAATGGGTAACAAAAGATTAAGAGAGCTATGAAGGTTTGGTGGATCTAAGTTTTATTGGACTCAACCGAATGTCTGAAGATGGTCCCAAGTCACTGATGAAATATAAACAAGGCAGCTAATATTAAAAAATAGGAAATGAAACTTGTAAAAAGAGGGAAAGGAAGAAGACTTTCTTCAAAAAAAAAAAAAAGAGAGAGATTGAGGCATTTTTGGCATATTTTAACTCAGACACTTCCCAATAAACATCCAAATAAAACCACCTCAAAGAATATTCCATGAAAAGTTTATTGAATGTTAATGACATACTTCTTTTCTGTTAACTGTATAGTACAGTACTCATGATGACTGTGCCTCCCAATGTTAACATTATTTATATTGTAACAGTCATTGTGAATACTGAAGTCATTTTTTAAAAATAATTTAGAAGAGCTGTTGTTGATAATCATGGAGTGCCCACTGCACACTCAGGGCATTTAAAAATAGTTAAATAACAATTATTATTATTATATTGCTAATAGTAACATTTATAATGCTGGTGTAGAACTAATAGCATTTCTTGACAATTCAGCACTCTCATATACTGCCCTCCACATATTAGAAAGCATTTAGTTAGGAAGAAAAATTTCTTCACTAGTCATCCTAGATAAAAATATTAACAATTTTACTGATAAAGAAGACCAAGTAAAGAATCTCAGAATGATTAAATGTATGAAAGATTTAAATTTTAAGACGCACTGTAACTTCCTGTGTATAAAAATAAAGTGGTCAGTCTTATGGCAAATGGAGAGAACAGGCCTAAGGAATGAAGTTTTTTTCCCCCCTTGGCAATACCTGAGTCTCAGTAATTCTACTTTAAATTTGCATAATGGTAGCACTTGGGAAAAAAGGCAAGAAAATGAAAAATATTTCCATAGAACAGAGCTGAAAGAGAAATGAATAACATAACTCACATATAAGTTGTAACAGATTTCTTACATAGTAATAACTTATATTTACATAGTGCTTGAAAACTTGTAAAGCAAAATTGGACACATATTTCATACCTTATAATAACTGTGAAGGACTATAGGTGTTACATGGCAGCTATGTGGCACAATCAATGGACAGACCACAGAGTCTGGGGTCAAGAATACTCATCTTCCTAATTTCAAATCTGGTCTCAGACATACTAGCTATGTGACTCTGGGCAAGTCACTGAACCTTGTCTGCCTCAGTTTCCTCCTCTGCAAAATAAGCTGGAGAAGGAAATAGCACATCACTCCAGTATCTTTGCCAAGAAAACCCCAAATGGGGTCATGAAGAGTCAGACTTGACTGAAATGACTGAACAACAACAAATAGGTATTATTATCTCTCCTTTACAGATAAGGAAGCTGAGGCTCAGAGGTTTAAATGACTTGCTCAAGTCATACAGCTAGTGTCATAGGCAACCCATGTCTTCCAGAAGTCAACCCCAACACTCCATCCCCTATGCCAAGCTGTCTCTCTGCATGGTCAAATTAAGAACAAATAGTCAAGTTTAGAATGAATGATATCCAATTCTACAATGAACAAAAGAATTGTTACACATATAAGAAGAATGAAAACGCAGTAAAAGTTTCAGAGAACTACAAGAAAAATTCAAGGGCTTAATTTACCCAGCTCAAGTATTCACCAATAGGATGGCACTTCTAACTGAGAGTAGCAAGGAATCCACTTTGAAAGATCCCCTCAACCTTCACAATGGGAATGGATTTGCACTGAACCCTAGTCATTCTTTTGTCTGCTGTACTCTAATGACTTTCGAGATGTAAGCCACGTTGTAAGACTGCAGGTTGGACTTGGGGTGGTGATCTATGGCTTAAGGTAAATTAACCGAGGAATGCATTAATTAGCCAAATACCTTGCTTAGTACCACACCTTAACCTGGTCACTGAACTAATTAATTAGCCAAAAATAAGTTCAAGGTGGGACATATCCATCATTTCCTTTAAAGACAAATCATGCGCATCTATAATTTATTTAGCAGAAATGTACAATTCAGGGAGGACCCTGACTTCAGAACTTAATTCTCAATGTGCACAGGAATTAGGAGAATAAATCTCATTAAGCCTAAATAGAATTTATACAAGCAAACTTCCTCCCACACTAGAAAGTTACAGACTTTACCCATTTTTATTTTCTTCTTGTTTGGGGAAAGCAGCTTTTGTTGCTGTTGTTGTAGTAGTGGGGCAGGGGATGGGGGTGAGGGAGAGGTGTTAAGAGACTGTACATGCAGAATGGAAGGAACAAGGAAAAGACGGTTCTTAAGTTAAATCCTACTTTTATTGTTTCCCACCTTACTTCTGGGTGCCATCAAGTCAGATTCAGAAACTGAATAATGTAGTATCCTAGAAATGGACCAAGTATTAGTCCCAATCTCCCCACCTCACTCTCCCCTAACCCCCTAGTACCTTAACAAAAGGCCTTTCATCTAGTTAACTTAACTGTGCTTCTGCTTTCACGGCTTTGGGCAAGATGATCTCAACTATCCCCTTCTATGATTCCGCCACACGTAAAGGAGAGGGAAAAATATAAGTCCAACCTATTTTATATGTAAACTTTCACATATATACATATATATGTATATACACACACAGAATGAATTATAAATAACACAAAGCACTTATGCAAAAATAAAAAACAAAAGATATCAACAGCAGAATTAGACTGGTAAATATACAGTACCACTTGTATTTGAGTCAAAGGTAAACTCAAGGTATAGAATACTATATGAGTACATCTAACTAGAAACTCTAATCAGTTTGGGGCTGAGTCTCTGTCAAAATAGCTTATGCCTCATATAATGCTCATAGCAGTCATTATGTCCCATCTTGTAATGATATGCCTTAAGAGCCTCCTGAAGGTTTCTCAATCCACTTGGGGCATGAAGGGGAGTTGACTAATAAAATCACTATAAAGTAAGTACTTCATGAACTTAGAATACAGAATGCTCACTGACAATACTCGACATTATGCCACCCTTTAAAAAGCTAATGGAAAGATGTCCACAGATTAAGCTTTAAATCTGGCCAAAGGGTATAGTTGCTCATCCCCCCCAGCCAAGCAAACAAATCTCTTAAAATCAAAGGATGAAAGAAGTCAGTATAAATTCTGTCTTGATGGTACCCAGTGGACAAACAGCTAAACCAAGCCCACAATAAATAATCAAGGTAAATATAGTATACAATTTCTACTCTACATCTTTATTCTAAACCATCTCTCCTATCTATCCTTCTAAAACTTCAACACATGAATACACATGACAAAAAGCACACTATTTTCATCACTTTTATTTGGCTAAACATATGGAAACAATAATTCTGTAGACATATGTACATCATATTAGGAAGCAATCCTATTTTAATGCAAATTTTAAAGAGCTTCTAAATAGATTCAAGGTATTAAAACTACTCAATTCGTCTGAAGCCTGCAAATAAAGCAGCCACATCTATAATTTATTTAGCAGAAATGTACAATTCAGGGAGGACCCTGACTTCAGAACTTAATTCTCAATGTGCACAGGAATTAGGAGAATAAATCTCATTAAGCCTAAATAGAATTTATACAAGCAAACTTCCTCCCACACTAGAAAGTTACAGACTTTACCCATTTTTATTTTCTTCTTGTTTGGGGAAAGCAGCTTTTGTTGCTGTTGTTGTAGTAGTGGGGCAGGGGATGGGGGTGAGGGAGAGGTGTTAAGAGACTGTACATGCAGAATGGAAGGAACAAGGAAAAGACGGTTCTTAAGTTAAATCCTACTTTTATTGTTTCCCCCGGAATACAAAACAAGGCACTTATTTTCCTTAAAAACATTTCTCTGGAAATTGATCACTTCTAACTGAATTAACTAAAATAAGGACATGCATAAATGGGGGAGGGGGCTCCCTCAGGGAAAAGAAAGGTTCTTTTTGGGGAAAAAAATTTAAAAAATAAAATTTCATCTGGCCTTCCCATCATCACTTGAGGAATTGTTTGGTAGTTACATCATCAGGAAATAAAATACTATCCTCTGAGGACCCCAACTCTTTACAAAGAGATTTTTTTCCTGACGTCTGAAATCACCTTCAGAGGCTGTTCTCCTCAGCCTACTTCCCCTATCTCTTCTTCTCCATCCCTCCTCCCAATCCCCTAAGACTATTCACAAAAACCAAGCTTTGAACTAGGGAACCAAGGTAGGGGGTGTTATTAAACTAATCAGCTAATGGCTTTCAATGTCTTTATTATCAATAACAAGAAAGAACTGGTGCAGCTTGGCCTTCCGTACATTCTTTTCCCAGTGAACTGGATAGACAAATGAAATGCTTCACACAGTCCTGAATGTCAGCGGGAGCCAGAACCCATTAATAAGCTTTCTCAGTTCTGGCTATCACTAAAGTACACTAGTCAGACACGACGAGTCTGCACAACACAGAGTTCCTTATATGGCAATGCCATGACGTAATGCTCCATAGGCTTGGGGCATGCAAAGAGCCTATCTCTCATTGTTTAGTACAAGTCCTGGAATGCTCGCATCTCTGATGTCTGAGAGGACTCAGTACAAGGAAGCAGGGGCTAAATCATGGGATTCCACAGCAGATACATCTAAGGTAAGAGAGAGAAAGCTGTCTTTTCTTTTCCTCTTAAGAAAACAAGGGGCCCTTCTGTCAGAAAAAGAACTGAGCTAGTGTAGATAGGTCTGTTCTTTCCCTTTCTTTCTTTTCACATGCTCTCGGTAAACAGGTTTCACAAAGTGTGTTCAATTAACCCTTGAAGAAAACCTTTCCCAGCTCATCCTAAACTTAAACCAGAACTGCAGAAGAAACCGATGAGGCATTTGATTTTAAATGTTAAGAAGGTGGGAAAAGTTTGGTATTACACACACTTTCCAAGTGAGTGCACCTGGAGTACTGCCTGTATTTAAACAGCTTTGAGAAAAAGTAAAAAATGAATTGTAAAACACTCCCTGGTCTCCCATTTGTGTCTCTGTGGTTGGGTGACAAAAGGCACATACACATACCATCAGTCTGCTGCTTATTTAGTGATTTAACTGAAAATTTTGTGTGAAATATTAAGAACATGTTCAAGAATTATCATGCGCCTGGTTTGAAAGTAAAACCAATCTAAGACTCAGAATGGAAGGCTCGCTTTTTAACTAGCCTGCATTTATCTATACACAACACTTCTTTTCGAATCTAGCATGCAAATGTCAATGTGGAAAGAGGAAGTAACTGCCAGAGCTTTGAGTTGTAACTTTTTTTGCTTCAACTTTGGTCACTGGATAAATGCACTAAATCTATTCACCCTAAGATGATGGTCTTGGATCAAGGTGTGCTCTGTAGAAAACTGCTTTCTTGACAGGATATGTCTACAAAAAGTATTTTGTTATTCAGTAGAGCTTTGAGGTTTTGAACATAATGACATCTAAACCTGGAGTGAGCTAATGCTATAAATTAATTCTGATGGTATAAGAAGACACAGTCAGCAAGCTTAATAAAAATGTGTAAGATATTTGGCTTCTTTTCCCAAAATTAAACTCGGCAGAAATTTTTTTTCTAATGACAAGTATACAGTTCTTCCAAGTTGAAAAACCAGATTAGCTGCTATATTGTAGTTGGAATGAAATAGTTATATGCTTTTTTGGTTATGCTGTACTTGGACTAAACATGTATTAGAAGACATAAAAATTAAATCTACTGTGACAGAACTATTTCCTCTTAAAACTCACCCCTGTGTTTTATAGGATGTATAGTGGACACTAAGTGTTTCACAGGCATAGCTTACTGACACGTGAATAACCATAACTGAGTTTTTAAAGATACCTTTGCATTTGATGGACTGTGAACACTCCCACCTCATTTAGTGGAGCTAAAACAGGGCAGTTATAATAACATAACAATCAGGTTTGGGGGGGGGTTGCTTTTTATTCAAGATTTAAATTTTAAATGAAAAGACAAAACAGACAGTAGGATATTTAACATCTGTAAATTTTTTTATACCCTCCAAACCTGGGTCAGGCTTGCATATTATTATTCTCTTCTGTTATGAAGTTCTTACAAATTCATGAGGAAAATAACATCTTCCACTTTTATTTCAATTAGCAGAATTTTACCAATTCACTGTTGTAGAGCAATTAGAGGCTCTTGTTTTCAGCACCCCAAGGGAGAATTTATTTTTCATTCAGGCTGAAAACAGGGTAAGGAACCTGCAAGTCAGTTCTGATTAGTAAGTTTCCTTAGAACTATTATTTTAAGCTTAGAGAAGCCTACAATAATATAAAGAAAGAAAAAAAAAGGCCAACACCCAGGCCATTGTGAAAAAATACTGAATATGCAATAACAAAGTTGTTTATTTGGTATAGGCTGTAATTGGAAGAGGAAAAAATCCCTGCCTTAGGCAAAAGGTTATTCTGCTCTTTTGAATCTAATATGGAAGGGAAACAGAAACCATTAATTACTGTTTCAGCTATACCCAAAGAACCATCTGTATCATAAGCTGCAGCTAGCCTGTTGAAAACATAACTTCTATCAAAGCTTCTTACAGCTGTATTTCCCATAGTCTGGATTTTTTAAAAGACAGTAAGCATTGATCTGTCCTCCCACCACCCCCACCCCCACCCCCTCCCCCCCAAAAAAACCCATTTCAGCATTCCACAGCCTTCTTCCAGTCTATTATTTTTTAAATCATTGTGTAAAGCACCTTAAGGGGCACCCCTATTTCAAACCTAAAGTCTTCCTAAGTTTGTATTCTCCTAGGATGGATAATCACTTCCTACTTCATAGGAAATCTGTGTGTCAGAAAGAGTTAATTTTAAAATTGATGTGTTAATAACATCCCAGGCTAATGAATGTGTATCAACTTGATAAAGCTAATATAACTCCACCCTACCCCTTTACACAGTTAGTGAAGGGAGACAGTCCTTGCCTGCTGAGCCCTGGAATTTTTGTATTATTTTCCAAATGTTATGATTGATTCTATAGTAACAGCCAATATGAAAATACAAACCAGTCCTTCTTAATTTTCACTCAAACTGTAATTCACATGAGATACAACTCCTTAAAAGGCTTCCGGGATTCTGTCCCCTCTTTCCCCAAGGACCTTTAGTGCCAAACATGAATTCATATGACAAAATGAAAATGAGGGGAGGACAAAATTACTCTGCTTGTGGGGCACCTTCTGCAACACAGATATCATAATGTTGGCAGTAAGACCCAAGACCCTTTGAGAGAGAAGAAGAGGGAAGACGGAAGGTGTCACTAATTAAAAGTACTGGAGATGAACCATGATTCTGAATGGTAGACGTCGGACCTATTTTAGAAGTTTGACACAAGTAATAAGTTTTTACTTTTTTCTTCCCTTTTAGCCTCAAAACAAAACCAAAACCTCATGTTTTAAACTACTTTGATGTAACCATCAAGTTAAAGTGTATCTTTAGGGTTTCTTAAGTTGTATCTGACTAAAGCTTTAAAGATGAAAAGGTACTAATAACAGCTGATCAGCATCCTAAGTATTTTAGCAAATATTCTGGGTCTTTACTATAATTTTTTTGAGCTAGTCTGTAGTCACTGAATGGTCAGTCAGTTAATGAGCCATTTTCCCACTGAAAGGTATTGGTGTGTTACAGAGAACATAGAAGTATAAATTTTTTACACTTCTAAGTGGAAAAGAGAACTCAAAATTAGACTATGGGGGAGAGGTAAAAAAAAAAATGGGATGGCATAGGACAATGTTTTTACATAACCCTAGCCTACAACATCCCCCTGCACTCTCATCAAAGAATGAAGTCAGCCCCTGAAGTTAAGACTCTTGGGCTTCTGGTAAATCTATCATCCATGCACAGACTAAATGAATGATGGGCTCTTTCTCTAGCTTGAAAACAGTCTCTGAGTTCAACTGAGAAACAGAATCTATGGAAGTAGTAGAAAGGCACAGAACTAATAAAAAGCTCATAGAATTAGGCACCCTTCTTTCTCTTCACCACATCGTGATACTCTAAAAGGAATTCTGACCAAAAGAATAAGTTGATTTACACTAGTTGGGAAATTCTGGGTGCATAAAGAAGGTTAGGAAGGCACAGTGAGGAAGACCACTCACTTGTCCTTCTTGAGTGCTAGGGAAGACAGGGTGATGTAGTGGAAAGAGCCCAGAATTTACAGTTAGTGAAGGAAGCAATTTTTGAATCCTGTCTCTGCTACTTACTAGCTGTTGTGACCTTAAGGAAGTCACCATTCTCTAAGCCTCTGCTTTCTCATGCTTGAAATTCGAGGACTGGCCTAGATTCTCTCTAAAATCCCTTTTTTCTCTCCAGCCTAAATTCATAAGGGTTACTTAACTCTTTATTCCATGCATCAATCATTAACACATTATCTGTAGGTATTGAGTTGATGATAGCAGCTGTTTAAATTCTGAAACCCGGAACAGGGAATACCAAATTAATAGCCCTCTTTTCCTCCCTAACCATCTTCATACCCTTATGTCCTGTTCAGTTCAGAATAATATGAATCATTAAGGAAATAATCCCTTAAGAACACTACTGGATATTGGAATTAGGAGCCCATCAGAGCACCTATATGCATGAACACACATGGACTTTAAATGCTTGGTTTCCCATATTTAGAATAACTATTGATTCCAGCTTGAATACCAGAGACTACTTGCAAAAAACAATATGTTACAAAGGAAGAGGGATGCAGTGAGTTCATCAGGTGTGAATAGAGATGGAAACTAGGACAATATCAAATTATTTGGTTTGAGGGAGAGTGCTAAATACTCTTTCCTTAGGGGCATTTAAGCACATGGCAATCACTACCCTAGCCTAGGTATGGAAAGATATCCATAGCAACCACTTAAGCCCAACAACTGAATTATCATTTCTGGAGAAACATTAACAGACACCTATTCACCAGAAACATTCTGAACACACGTTCAATTATTTACATTATACCTTGATAGTGAGGCAGCATGCTATCTAGGGAACAGAATACTGGCTTCAACATCAGGAGACACATTCCCAGTTCTGGAATATGCTCACGGTGTGACCCTGAACAAGTCACTTTACCTCTCCCATCTTCAGTTTCCTTCTCTATTAAATGGGGATAACAATATTTACACTACCAACTTCATAAAATTATTATGAGGAAAGTGATATACAAGACTTAAACGATTCCACACGAGGGAATTGTTACGTGGACATAAGTCATACGGGCTATTCAATGCCATCCAACCCAGGTACATTTGGTGAATGTACACAAATGTACATAGATGTTAGACCCAAGACAGAGTTTAGAGATCATCTCATGTAATACTTTTTGGAAAACTATAAAATGAAATAAATTTCCCAAGATCAAATAGTTAATTAATGGCAAAGATAGAACTAGAATCTGTCTCGACACCCCACAGTCCTTCCCCCAACCTCTAGGGCACTACAGTTTTCACTACTATCTTTTGCTCCCTTTCTCACTGAATTCTACCAAAATGATGACAGCTTAGACAGTTTGGAGAAAAAACAAATAAGTATGAAAATGCCAGTACAGTGGAAATATCCTGGTACAAGAGGTCTAGGACTAATACAGGTTAGCATGTTATAAATAATTGAGTGAGTTTATATTCA